AAACACCTCTATTGGTACATTTCAATATTTCCTTTTGCAACATGATTTTTCCAAACATTCAGTTTTCTTTTAAATCCAAGAATCTTATCACTTGTGGTCAAAACATTTTCTCCACTCCCTTGCAGAGACTTGTTCAGCTGGTTCATGTGATGAAAGATGTCTGCTAAGTATTCTAGTTTCTGTAACCATTCTCCATCTTCAAAGCACTCAGCAAAATGTGGAATACTATTTTCTCAAAAATACTCTTGCAATTCTGCCTTCAACTCAAACACCTTGTTGAGAACTCTTCCTCAGCTGAGCCACTGTATTTCTGTGTGTAACAGGAGACTTACGTGCTCTTTGTCCAGGTTTTCACACAGTTTTTAAAACATTCTTGAGTGAACTGGTCTTTATTTAATAAAGTTAACCATTTTTGTACCATCATCCAGAACCAAGTTTTTGACACCAACACCTCTCTGTGAAAAAAGCAATGTGTGGTGACAACATCAGGATTTTATTTTCTTACAAGAGAAACAAAACCTCTCATGGAGCCAACCATTGATGGAGCACCGTCAATACCGTTGCTGACACAGTTCTTCCAAGACAGACTTTTTGTTTCCAGATATAAAGACAAAACATTAAATACATCTTGGTCTTTGCATGTAGTTCTTCCAAGACAGACTTTTTGTTTCCAGATATAAAGACAAAACATTAAATACATCTTGGTCTTTGCATGTTTCATGTAGTCCTTTGCAGCAGAAAAAGTTTTGTTGAATTTCACCATCATTTACAAATCTTACAAATGCCATAACATGACATTTATTGGTGAAATCTGTTGACTTATCAATTTGGATAGAAAAGCTGCTGTTCTTCAGTTTATCACACAAAACCTCTTCAGCATCACATGACATGTCATCACTACGCCGACTTATTGTACTGTTTGACAATGGGACCTTTTCATTTCTTGTACTGCATCTGGTCCTAGCATTTTTCCCACTATTATTTTACAGGGCGACATTATTTATTTATTTATTAAATTTATATGCCGCCATCTCCACCAGAGGGTGACTCTGGGCAGCTCACAATTAAAATCAAACATTAAAGGCAGTAAAAATAAATATCCATATTAAATTACCTAAAAAATAATACTAATGATTACTTTCTCACCAAAAGTGTGTCGTTTCCTTTGCTGTGTAATAAATTCTGCTACTAAATAACTTTTTCTTGGGCTTTTTTACTGACTGTCATTTTATTAATAAAAGCTTTACTCTGTTCTGTGATTCCAATAGCCGTTTAAAATAATGAGAACTTTTACTTGTCATATGGCTGTGATTTGTAGTTAAGTGTTTTTTTTTAAATTTTGCTGGAGCCATTGCTGCATTTGTAAGTAGTTTGCCACAGATGAGGCACAACAGAATAGGACAACTTGGATCACCAGTCCATGTAAAACCCATTGATAAATAGCTTTCATTGTAAAGGCAGACTTTTTTTAGTCTGTTGATGTGCCAGTGCAGGGAAATGCCTGAGAAGATTTAAATTATTCACTATCATCATTAAACTTATTGGTATTGTCCATTCTAGAATCCTCCTGTTCTCTCTCACATCTCCTCTTCAAAAATCGCCACATTGGACCTCAGACATGACTGAATAAACATGTACGAAATTTATTTAAAATAACAGGATAAAATAATTACAGGAAAACCACGTGGAAAATATGCAGGAAGGACAGACTGACATCACAGACTAAGTTGGACAAGTCCATTAATTTCTTGAAAAATGCACTTCTCCCTCTCCTTCCTTCAGTATATTTCTCCCTTCCTGCAATATATTCCTTCCTTCCTGAAATATAGCATTCACCTGTTGTCAACAGTCTCCCCTATCTTGTGTCAAAAATTAAGAATGGATTCAACCAGATAAACACAGTGCACTACCAGAGAGCTCAGAAAGAGGACATCACTTTTGGAGCAAGGTTGCCCTCCTGCAGAACTATCTTTCAACAGAACATTTTATACTAGATCATCTATAGTTAGTGATGTTATACCTCATGTTAAAATGAACAAGGAAAAATATGAAGTGGCATGTAAGAATAAATGTGTTATGACAGATGAATAACACTTTTGCCACAACTGAGTGTCAGTGACAAAATGAGATGTTTAATGACACAAGTTGGAGTAATGAAGTAATAACAAGGCAACTTGTCCCACATACTTTTGAGGTTAAGGGTGATAAATGTTATGTATAGAAGAAATCAGAGGCACTTTTGATTGATGCCATCTACTGCATACAATTGATACCATCAATGGTCCAGAACATTCACTGGTAGCACTGCCAACAGATTTGAAGTCTTTTGAAGGGGATCTTACCAAATTTCCATATGGCATCAAGCTAGGAGAATTGCCTAAAATCACAATTCAAAATAACCTCTACAGGCTTGAATATTGGTACATGCCCAACAAGTTGATGTTCAACTGTGATAAGCATGAGTTCCTGCATCTGGGTAGGAAAAAAAGCACAGTTAGAGAACTAAAGAAACCTAGCAGCAGAACATGTGAGAAAGATGTAGAAGTACTAATGGATCACCAGCTGAACATGAACAGCATTTGGCAGCTAAAAAGGCCAACACAAGTTTGGGCTTCATTAACAGAAGGATTGCATCCAGAATATAAGAGTTGACAGCTTCATTGTACTCTGTGCTGGTTAGATTACTCTTGAAATAGTGTTCAGTTCCAGACACCACACTTGTTTTGCTGGTGTTAGTATTCTTTTTCCAGACATTTGTTTTGTAGGATATTTGTATTAGTTTATTTTTAACTGTCTTATTCTGTATGCCACCCAGAATTAGGTTGGAGTTGGATGGCTATAAATGTAATAAATAAATTTAATAAATAAAAGGGACATGGGCAAATTAGGACGAGTCTAGGAGAAAACTACGTGGATGATAAGGGGATCTGAAAATCAAGCTCTTTAAAGAGCTATGAGTTTGCTTGCAGAAGAGCAGATTAAGGAGTTGAATGTTACTGATCTACAAATATCTAAAAGGTTGTAACATGCAAAAAAGGGTAGGCTAGCTCTCTATTGAAACTGAGTGTAGGACAAGGACTAAGGTTGAAATGAAAAGAAAGGACAGTCAGGCTAAATATTAGGAAGAACTTCCTGACAGTAATACCTATTAACCAATAGAATAATTTGCCTAGAATGGTGATGGACTCTGACTCATTGGAAGTTTTCAAATGGGGCTGAATGTGAAAAGTTTAGCTAGTAGACTTGTGCCCTGACTTAGGCTGAACTAAATCCCTACCCACTTAAAAAAATTATGGAGGACTCCAAAAAAACATTTGTATGAGTTATATTTATTGATATCTACCATATTAAAAATTAAAATTGACACATTTGCTGCTGCTACCGCTTCTCATGATTGTTTGATGGGATTTTAATGTTGTATTATTTTCAACATAGGTAAATAATTGTGATTTTGAGGACCCCTGAGAGGGTCTTAGGGGACCCCCAGGGGTCCTAGGACCACACTTTAAGAAACACTGGATTAGGAGAACACCTATCAGGTACCTTCCAACTCATTCTATGATTCTTTGATTTTTGGGTTAGTGATTCAGGAAACTAGTTATCTCATTTCAAGGTGATTTAATGAGGGATGTAGAGATTCATAGGGTTTTGGATCCAAAGGATTCACAGCCTCTGTGACCCACTGTATTTTAGGACCTCCTGGCATTAAAATATCCAGCAGGTATATACTTGGAGCTGTCTGTGGGTACAACAGGGCTTTTCCAGAGGCAAAGGTGCACCCTCGCTAGTGGAAGAGCACTTTGCAAATCCTTATTTCTTCCAAAATCTCATTCTCAGAGTTTCTTTACCTAAAAACTCTTTAAAATGGCTTACAATTATTCCTGCTGTGCATGTCTTTTGACAGGTCAAGTTGAACACTAAGGAGATGAAAGGTAAGGCCAATAAATCAAATGCAGAATATCTTGTTTCCTAGTTCTGTAAGAGGAAGATTTATACTGACTGGGATCACTCAATACATATAGCCAAGAAAGACTTAATTAATGAATCTGCACTCTGTCATCTAATTTACCAATGTATGGGGGGGGGGGCGGGGGGGTAGAAGGGAGTAACATTATGTCGGTCATGATATCATCATACATATGACATCATTGTGGCTTCTATTGGATGCCTATACCAAGATGTGCT